TTGTTTTTTGTGTATTTTATTTTAATCATGATGTATAAATCTGCGAAATTATTATTTTTAAAATTGTCAGTAATGCTTTTAACTAGTTAATTAGTTTATTTCTTTTAGTTGAGTTTATTAGTTTATTACTTTCATACATGTATGGTCATAAAACATTGAATAAATGCAATGAAAGTGTCCAATTCACTCTGTTGCTATGGTAACAGCAAGTAGCAAAACGATCCGCTGTAAACAAGAGAATTCTTTAGGAAATGTTACATTTTGACCATTTGACTGACATGTATTCTTTTTAAAATTTGGTGACAGAAAATAACCTAATAACTATATAACAATTAATTTGGATTGTGTTATATTATGATGTCATAGGGGCAATTGTTAATCAGGGGCGCAGCAAGCTCTCAGTCGGGGGGGGGGGAGTGGTTCGACACAAATTTTTTTAAAGATTTTGTTTATTTTTACAAAAATTGATGCAACTTCCTTCAAAACTCAGCTAGAAGATTCGTGTCAAATGCATTTTAAAACTCTTCTTCTGTCTAATGGTTCTATTTTTATTGGTTACAGGGGGTGCACTCATTACACCCCCTGGCTATGCCTATGTGAGCTATGGTAACCAGGTGAATATACCGTCCCCATTTTTCACCACTTTTCCAAAGTTTTGCTGCTATCTTTGTCATCATGATAGCTCTGGTGTATATGAAATTTTCATCAAATGGAAGCTAAGTCATTTTGTTTTTTGCAGACATCTTTTGAATTTTTTCACAGGAAAGGGCCCAATGTCCCTCAAATATATCAGTCCATAGGCCATTGGGGGGACCACAGGGGTCTACTAGGATGCATTTGGGGGCCACGGGGGTCCACAAGAATACGTTTGGGGCTTGGGGGCCACCGGGATGCTTTTAGGGGTCACAGGGAGCTACCAGGGTGCTTTTGATGGTCATGAGGAGCCATTTGCATGCTTCTGGTGGCAACAGGGGGCCACTAAGGTGGTTTTAGGGGCCACTAGGGTGGTTTTAGGGGCCACTGGGGTCCAATAAGATGCTTTCAAGGGCAACTTAGATGCTTTTAGGGGGCATAATGGGGCCCTAATGGGGCCACTGGATGTCACTAGTGTGCTTTTTGGGGCCACTAAAATAATTTTGGGGTCCACAGGGGCCCATTGGAGTGCTTTTAGAGGCCACCTGGGGCCACTGAGATGGTTTTTGGGGTCCCAGGGGACCAATAGGATGCTTTCGGGGGCCAATAGGATGCTTTTGGGGGCCACTAGGATGCTTTTAGGGGGCATAATGGGGCCACTTGGATGCTTTTTGGGCCACTGGGTGTCACTAGTATGCTTTTTCGGGGCCACTGGGGCGGCAAATGGGAAGCTTTTTGAGCCACTGGGGACCACTAGAATGATTTTAGGGCACATTGAAGTGCTTTTAGAGGCCACCTGGGGCCACTGAGATGCTTTTTGGGACCACAGGGGGCCAATGGGATGCTTTCGGGGCCACTAGGATGCTTTTAGGGGGCATAATTGGGCCACTTGGATGCTTTTTTGGGCCACTGGGTGTCACTAGTATGCTTTTTGGGGGCCACTGGTGGTGGAAATGGGAAGCTTTTGGGGCCACTGGGGGCAACTAGAATGATTTTGAGGTCCACAGGGGGCTTTTAGAGGCCACTGAGATGCTTTTTGGGGCCACAGGGGTCAATAGGATGCTTTCGGGGGCCACTAGGATTCTTTTAGGGGGCATAATGGGGCCACTTGGATGCTTTTTTGAGCCACTGGGTGTCACTAGTATGCTTTTTGGGGTCACTAGGGGGCAACTGGGAAGCTTTTGAGGCCTCTAGAATGAGATTGGGGCCATTGGAGTGCTTTTAGAGGCCACTTAGGGCCACTGAGATGCTTTTCGGGGCAACGTTTTGGGGCCACAGGGGGCCACTGGGTTGATGTCATGGGTCACAGATGGGTACTAGGATACTTTTGACGGCCTCATAGCAGCACTAATTTGTTTTTGGGGGTCACTGGGGACAACTAGGATGCTTTTGAGGAGCACATGGGGCCGCTATGATGCTTTTGGGGGGCATCTGGGGGCTATTGGGATGCTTTTTGGGGCATCTGGGGGACACTAGGATGATTTTGGGAGTCATAGGAGCCTCGTGTATGCTTAGAGGGGCCTATTTAGTATTGAATTATAACAAACAGACTAAGTTTAAGTTAATGACAGTGTAAAATTACATGTTTGTTAAAGTTATCATATGATATTATAAATAGGTTTTACAACCAAGAAATCATAACCTCTTAACCCAAAAATGTTATCATGGGCACTTGTGTCTATGTCCTGTATTTGGGATGCCTCTAGAACAAAAACTTTTTTTTCTTAGTTATGCTACCGAGGTTAGAAAAACATAAAAATTATTTTAAAAATACTAATGCATTCAATATATAAGCACTTGTGCCAAAGGGAAAGGACCGAAAGTTGTAAGTGAACTTAGCAAGAAAAAGCAAACTCTAAGTGTATACCAGTCAAGAAAAACAAACCCCATATAGCCCAAAACCATGATCTAACATGAAAAGAAACAATGTCTAATACCCCTTTCCCCCACCATTCAAGAACCAATATCACAATCCAAGACCAGAAGACCAAGGGACATTTCATTCATACTGATGTCATTACAAGAAAAAAATAGAAATTGATAGCCAATACTCATAACCTCAAAAATAGTTATTACAGTTAATAGTTAATGCCAATCTGTTGTCATTATTGGGTTAAAATGCTTTTGACTTGAAGCTTCTACCCCCCCCCCGACTGAAAGCTGGCTGCATCCATGATTAATAATTGCCCTTATGACATAATAATATAACACAATCCAAATTAAATAATTTTCTACAGTTATTAGATTATTTTGTCATCAGATTTTAATAAAAAGAGTACATGTCAGTCAACTGGTCAAAATGTAACATTTCCTAAAGAATTCTTGTTTACAGTGAACAGTTTTGCTACATGATGTTACCATAGCAACAGTGTGAATTGAACATTTTTTATTTGAATTAGACATCTTTAATTACATTTATTCAATTTTTCTATGACCATAAATGTATGAATGAAATAAGCTTTTAAACTCAACTACAAGAAATAAACTAGTTGCAAGCATTACTGACCATTTGAAAGACAGTAATTTCAAAGAGTTATACATCATGATTAAGATAAAATATGCAAGAGCAAACAGTTATGACGTCATAATTAAGATGCAAATCACCCTAATTGCATGTTTCATCAAATATATGATTGCCTTATCTATTACCTTTCATTTGGTGCAAATTTCATCTAAAGCTGAGCAATAATGACGAAGATATGGGCCAAACACTGAAAAGAGCCCCTAAAAGTGGGTGTGGCATATTTACTTTGTTACTATAGTGACGCTGCCGCGGATTGAGAATTGCCAACTTAATATATTTTGATTGTATTATCTATTACCTTTCATTTGGTGTGAATTTCATCGAAATCTGAGCAATAATGAAGGAGATAGGGGCCAAACACTGAAAAGAGCCCCTAAAAGTGGGCGTGGCATATTCACTTGGTTACCATAGCAACGCCGTCGCGGATCAAGAATTGCCAACATCATTTTTCTTGGTAAGTATCACGTATAGTTCATAAAAATGTATGTCGCTAAGCTCGCCTCTAAAAAGGACACGGAACCTCTTATTTGGACTTTTGCTCCCAGACTATAAGTGGGTGGGGCAGATGAGTAATGCGCACGCGCAACGAAGCATTTTAAGTGCAGTGTAACACCAAATAATTGCTTCGTTAGGGTTGGATAAAGCCAGTGTGGACACAATTTTTTCGCTAACCTTCGTTACAAAAAATGCTTCGTTAGACTCAACCCAGCAGTGTAACAGGTACCAGTGTTGACATCTATTTAATCAGTTTGATAGGAACAACTTTCTTATTGACGAATATATTTCTTTATCATTTGAAATAATTCAAATGCAACTTTATTGCCCAAATATCAGCCTCATCTTGGCCCGAATTTAGGTCAGAAATAACGTACACTGCTATCTTCTGTCACCAGCCCGGCAGTTCAGTCGGTAGAGCATGGGACTCTTAATCCCAGGGTCGTGGGTTCGAGCCCCACGTTGGGCGCATTTTTGGTCAAACTGCTACTTTATTTCCCAAAATCAGCCTGTAAAAATCAATCGTGCTTGTTGCCTGAGAGTATTTAACTCCCCGGCGGAGCCCAGTCTGGGTAACCCCACGTCGAGCGAAATTTTTGGTCCAAAATCAGCCAGATTGAGGTCACGATTTGACGTACACTACTTCCCGAAGGTTTGCGAAGCTAGCTTCTGATGTAAGTTCTTCCTTATTACAGGTTTTGGTATATTGCTTGAGTTTTCTTCCATTTGCAGTTCATGATGTTAGTAAAAATGTTACTTGTTTTTTTTTAATTTCCCTCCCTTTTCCCACCCTGGAATAATATGGCATGAAGGGCGCACCAATTGCAATGTAAAACGGATTTGTTTTTAGATTAAAAAGTCAACACATATTAGGAAAATTAACATTTGCCATATTCGTATAAGTAAAGTAAGTTTCAGATAGAATACACGTTTTCATAAATTGATAGCTTAATAGTAAGACTCCGTAAAAACACCAAATACAATAAAGAGAACGGTATATTTACAAAATATCAATATGTAACTCAACCTTTTCCAAACTCAGTGTCACAATTGAAGGGGAAATTAGGTATCAAAATCTCTCCCCCCCCCAAATAAGTTAGGCAACTTAGATAACGAACTGGCATAAATGGGCACCATTTTTTAAAGTTGAGCCTATTTTTTTTTTTAAATGTCAAAATTGGGGCCAAACCTTTCTTTGCTCGCCCCCGACTCTTTGATTTTCAGGCCCGCCCCTGACATTTATACTTGATGAAGCTTCTATCAATCATAGGGATGAACCCGAATGTAATTGATTGCCTAATATAACAAGACTATAACTATAACAAAGACTATAAATATACAAACTTGCCTTAATATCTTTTATGGAGTCTAGAATTACTTTATGAAAACTTCGGATCTCCTCTATGTTGGCATGAATATTGTCTTCGAATACAAATATGTGCGTGTAGTCGGCTGATCTGATTAGGCACTCTATATAGTTACCATCCGATACATCTTCTTTGATTATGTCGACCCCCCTCTTCCACAACGCCTTTCCTCGCTATAAAAATGGTACAAATGTTCCTCTTTTCAATAAGGTTGTTATTTTATTTCATTTTCTGACACAACGTTACGTTGTCGTGCAAAAATAAAAATGCAAAAATTCTCATCGCGTTCCAGAAATGATCATGATTCCTCATTTCTAAGTCAGGGGTTTCAGGATAATAAGGCCCATATATAATGAAAATCCATACCCAGCTGCGCGCAGAGTCTAGCTATAAATTACCGAAGAAGACGAAGTTCTCTTTTAAGAAGTGAAGTCGTACGAATGCAAAGGGTAGCATTACATGTACATTTTGAAATATTTCAAGTCTAAAATATATTTAAGAAAGTTAATAAAACTGAACGTTTTTGGTCAACCAGGTCTTTTAATGGGGTTTGCTGCTGCTTTGTTAACTTTTCATTTAAACTCCCTTTCGTTAGAGTTTGGTCGACGTGGTAGTATGAACCAACCGATAGACTAAGGATTCACAATAACAAACGAAAATAAAGAAACCATAAAAACTAAACTTGATTTGTTCTAATACCTGCAGATCTTCCCAAGAATACTGCGTCAACGTATGCATGGCGTCTATAATATTTATCATAGGGAGTGACAACATGGATTCTCGCACAAACGCTCTTCCCAAATGATGTCCCAGAAAGGATGCCCCGTTTATAAGTAACAAGTTTGAGGCTTCTGTTAATATAGGTCTTCTATCCTTTTCTGAAATCATTTACACACCTGCTTATCATGATTTAATGCAGGAATACAATGGTTCAGAAATAAACATTTGAACAGCATTTACAAAAGAATTCTGACCAAATTCTCATTGATTCGACTATAGCAGTGTGAAGACACCGCTTTGTCTAGCTCCTCAATCAAATAACAAAGTTTGTGTTTTAAATGTGGTTAAAAGCATATCATGGTTTGTTTGTTTGTTTGTTTGCTTGTTTATCTGTTTGGTTTATGTTTTGCATTGAACAATGATGATTTATCAGATGCAGACTTTAACTAAGTGAAAAACATTGCCACTCTGATTGCAATTAATAAAAACAAACACAAACATACGAAAGTAGTGTAGACATAAAATGATGATATATTATTGTATATCTTAAGGCGTTGGTAAACCTATTGTCTTTACCATATGTACACACTTTGCACATACTTGACGGAACGTCTATGTACAATTGTCGGCTTAAAATATGAATTCTGGTGACAATTTCACAAATAGTTTTAGTAGTATTCCTTTCAAATTAAAGTTTGCTGGCTTCTAGCTTGAGTTACAAATTTTTTCAAGTTCTAGTCTGCAAAATTTCATGAGCAAACTGTTGTTGGATATTTTTCTACAACACTTCAAAGTAGGCGACAAAAATGTGTTTGGAGACAGTGGAGTACTGTGTAAATATGATATAATGCTAGGTCTTACCATTGCCGTCCTCTTTTCTCTCCGTAGACGACACAATGCTTTGTTTGCTTTCTACGTCATTCCCTGCTATAACTTTGTTCGTTGTCCGAACATCAGCTGCATCATTTAATATTTCATCCAGTAAAATATGAAAAACAATAAAAACAATAAGCATATTTACAACTATCCAAAATATGCATCGTTTCATGTTGTCCTGTTTTGTTAGTCGAAACAATAATATTTTGTATATTGATAATTCCCTAATTTCAACTTTCACCATCATCTACTTGTTGAGCATCTACACACACGTGTTCATCTAGTCAAGTGAACTCGACTTAATGTTGTTGTTTCACGTTTCTTTTTGACGATTTGGATATTTGTTTTTTATTTTTGTTTTCAACATTTGCGTCGAGGATATTAAGCCTAGTATATTGCGGTAAATGCTTTTCTGCCCTCTATGCTCAACAAAAGTTACACAGATAAGATATAATGGATCCAATGCTTCAACTAGAATGTATTAACTCTTACCTTAAACACAGGAAATACTTGATAATTGAAGAAATGTAATCATTTTTGTATATGTTTGAACCAATTTCCAATATGGTTCTCAAGGTCACTCAAGGTCACTGAATACAGTCTAAATGTGAAACCATGCAACCAAAACGAAATCGTAATTATTTATTACCAACATATCTGTTTTCGGTTTCTTCACCCTCCTTGGTGTCTGAGAAGGCGATTCAATTGTCATAAGACGATGATAAACTTTCGAGTTGAAATCTCGATCTCAATATGGCTGCTGTTATTTATTGTAATTTCGTTTTTCGCTTCACCTAGAGTTTTACTTTTACACAATCATTACCCAGAATGCATCTACACATGGGGAAAAAAATTGTTTCCAGAAAAATTCTTATACTTCTTCAATTATCAAGCGTTTGACGTGTGTAAGGTAGGATTAAATACATTATCGATGAAGAGCATATTCTAATACATAATTTGTGTGATTTTGGTTGCCTAAACAGGCCAGGAAAGCATTTCCCTCAATTTACAACCGGGAAGTGTGTACGACCCTAGTATGCAAGAAAAGAACAAAAAATGAATATCCAAATTATCAAAAAATAATGACAAATAAAGCATACGATGGTCGGATTTATATGACTAGTGTTCATCATGGCAATACACAAGTTCATAACGTATCAGCACCATATCAGCCTCAATTTCATTTATTAGGAGAATATCCTGGTCATCATTCTGATTTAACAATGCTTGTTTCGGGTTGATTTATGGGAAGACTAAAAACCAATGCATTCCCAAAGTTGAAAATGAGCACAATGTTAGGACATCAGTCATCGCCGAAATAGCTCAGTTGGGAGAGCGTTAGACTGAAGTGGTGAACAATCCTTGATCTACCAGGAATCTAAAGGTCCCTGGTTCAATCCCGGGTTTCGGCAAGGAAAACTAGAAATGACATTTTTGTATCATTCTAATGATACTGTTTTGCTAAAATTGCACTTTCCCGGGGTCACAGGTTCGAGCCCCGCCGAAAGCTCTTCTTAAGAAAATCATTGGGGGTTCATTTTGCCATTGTAATATATGGCTGTATAGTATATTAAAATGCATTAATAGTCAGTTCTGTTCCAAGAAGGTTCCGTGGTGTAGTGGTTATCACATGTGCTTAACACGCACAGGGTCGTGGGTTCGAGCCCCGCCGGAACCTTTTTTTACAAAAATCAACTAGCATTCTCTCAGTCACAATGGCACTCAATGATACGTCATCAGTCATCGCCGAAATAGCTCAGTTGGGAGAGCGTTAGACTGAAGTGGTGAACAGTCCTTGATCTACCAGGAATCTAAAGGTCCCTGGTTCAATCCCGGGTTTCGGCAAGGAAAACTAGAAATGACATTTTTGTATCATTCTAATGATACTGTTTTGCTAAAATTGCACTTTCCCGGGGTCACGGGTTCGAGCCCCGCCGAAAGCTCTTCTTAAGAAAATCATTGGGGGTTCATTTTGCCATTGTAATATATGGCTGTATAGTATATTAAAATGCATTAATAGTCAGTTCTGTTCCAAGAAGGTTCCGTGGTGTAGTGGTTATCACATGTGCTTAACACGCACAGGGTCGCGGGTTCGAGCCCCGCCGGAACCTTTTTTTACAAAAATCAACTAGCATTCTCTAAGTCACAATGGCACTCAATGATAAGTCAACAGGCATCGCCGAAATAGCTCAGTTGGGAGAGCGTTAGACTGAAGTGGTGAACAATCCTTGATCTACCAGGAATCTAAAGGTCCCTGGTTCAATCCCGGGTTTCGGCAAGGAAAACCAGAAATGACATTTTTGTATCATTCTAATGATACTGTTTTGCTAAAATTGCACTTTCCCGGGGTCACGGGTTCGAGCCCCGCCGAAAGCTCTTCTTAAGAAAATCATTGGGGGTTCATTTTGCCATTGTAATATATGGCTGTATAGTATATTAAAATGCATTAATAGTCAGTTCTATTCCAAGAAGGTTCCGTGGTGTAGTGGTTATCACATGTGCTTAACAGGCACAGGGTCGCGTGTTCGAGCCCCGCCGGAACCTCTTTTTACAAAAATCAACTAGCATTCAATAAGTCACAATGGCATCAATGATACGTCATCAGTCATCGCCGAAATAGCCCAGTTGGGAGAGCGTTAGACTGAAGTGGTGAACAATCCTTGATCTACCAGGAATCTAAAGGTCCCTGGTTCTATCCCGGGTTTTGGCAATGAAAACTAGAAATGACATTTTTGCTAAAAACGCACACCCGGGGTCACGGGTCCGACCCCCGCCGAAAGCTCTTCTTAATAAAATTATTGGGGGTTCATTTTGCCATAGTAATATATGGCAATATAGAATATTAAAAATCATTAATACTCATCCGAGTCCAAGAAGGTTCGGTGGTGTAGTGGTTATCACATGTGCTTAACACGCACAGGGTCGCGGGGACGAGCCCCGCCGGAACCTCTTTTTACAAAAATCAACTAGCATTCTCTAAATAAGAATGGTACTCAATGTTATGTTACAGTCATCGCCGAAATAGCTCAGTTGGGAGAGCGTTAGACTGAAGTGGTGAACAATCCTTGATCTACCAGGAATCTAAAGGTCCCTAATTCAATCGCGGGTTTCGGCAAGGAAAACTAGAAATGACATTTTTGTATCATTTCAATATAAAGTGTTGTATATACACGGAGTTATAGCATGACGGTTACGTCAAGGCGATTTGCAAAATTTTGCAGTAACGATAACAAAAAATGGCGGATGGGAAAGACAGCATGCCCTCTTTCTCGCCTGTAGGCAAGATTCTCAGATAAGATTTCCTTTTTAACTAGTTCCATCCGGTGACGTATATATGGATGGTTATAAAGACCGGGTCAAATCTGCCAGTTGGTTTACTAGAAGCGGAATATAAGCTGTAAACTTACCGACTGAGATGTCCAAGTTCATATTTTTTAGTCCATTCTCGTGATTTCTCAGTATTTGTGCCTCAGAGCCACTCAAACTATTAACAGTAAGTAAACTGTGTATAAACAAGTCATAACATGACAAATCCAGAACAGGAACGTGGTCATATTGTAAATAATAAGGTTTTAAACGCAATGTCGTTAGACGACTACGTATGAATTATATGGACGGTAACGTATTGTATTAGATATACATTAGATATTTAGCGGACGGTTACGTGCATGTACATCTTTCAAGTTAAGGTTGCTAGTTCTGATAGCCTCTTTCCTTGAATTGTTATAATGGGTAAGAAATGGAATATTGAATTGCTTATATTTGTTTTCAGGACTCGCAAGAGACGCTCTTGTTTGAGCCTCTATAGGGCAAGGAAAAAATTGTGTTTTGCTTTATTAATGAAATTAATTTAAGTAAAAAAGATAGCAATGAAGAGGCAAAAGAAGAATTAGCATCAAGTACTGATGAATATGACAAAATTAATAACAATGAATCTGGGATACATATTTGAACGAGGTTTGCGTAACCGTCAATCAATTTTTGGCGTAACCGCAAATTAAAAATACAATATTATCGCTTAAGTAGAACATATTAGGTGGTTTCCAATGCTCAATTGGCTTTTTATGATCGTATGTAGGTTACATCTATATACCCCGATGTCATTAGGCAATTTAGACCATACCCTTACGACAAAAATAAACAAATTGCTAAATTTTGTGTAGTTTTGAATTTCAAACTCAACAGTTTTTCGCTTATTTCATGTTATCCCCGGGCATCAATTTGCAAAGAATACGTTCAAAATCGCCGAATGCGAGGTCTACAAAAATCGTTCATCCTTTCATTGATACACAGTAGGAGAAAATACTGCATCAACCTTAGTTTTCTGTTCCATCGCGGCCATTTTATTGGATAAATCAGTGATCGTAGTCGTCTAATCTCGTTTTCAGAGGTGTCCTAAGTCGTGCTATAACACCGCGGTATGGTAACATGGTTCCGTGGTGTAGTGGTTATCACATGTGCTTTACACGCACAGGGTCGCGGGTTCGAACCCCGCCGGAACCTTTTTTATTCATTGTGGGATCCACAGCCTTTACTATCCTTTTGGAATAGTTCTCTCAAAAGCGTTAGGTAAAGAGGGACTCTGATAAATCAGAATGTCTTTTATTGATATTTTGAATATTTACTGCCCTCTTTTAAAGTCGGATCATCGTGCTCGAAATTGTCCAGACTTCATTTACAGGCTTAATCTTTTAATGATTTGCGATAGGCATCATGTCAAACCATGACATCTCAAATCTTCTCAGCCCAGGTGAACAGAAAGATGCTATGAGTATCAGAATGTGACATAGGTATTCGGTTTTATTTGTATAGTAATTTTAAAGATGTCACTCGTTGTTCCCAATCTGATTTTTAACATCGTGGGATCCAGTCTCTACTATCCCTTGGAACAAGCTTGATAAAGAGGGACTCAAATAGATCAGTGTTGGATTTTTAACGATAAAATATACTTTTCATGTTCACTACCCTTGACGTCTCCCCTTAACACTGCAAAGAAGATCCCTACCATAAAATAAAAAATATTGACCCACTTGCGAGATACCACAAATTGATTTCCAGGTACCATGCTCGGGGTACTGTGTAACCATGGGCATGGCTTTGACACTTAAGTGATATCAAATGAAGCCAAATCCCAACACACCCTGTGGGCACAACGACTACCATCGGGTTCGCGGGAGAAGTTACACACGTTTGGATTGACTTTTAGTGATTTCCTGGTTGCAATTATGTTATTTATTTATTGTACCAATAATCCCTTTAAGGGCAAGTGTACAAAAGAAGAGAAAAAACGTACATAGACATAATAACGTACAAGTAGAAAAGTACATAAATACAGATGTATAATTATGACATAATGAAATTATTTACATACTGTGCAACTGATACATATATGCTTGAAAATAAAACACTCTAAAAAGGTAAATTGAACCATTTGAGATCATATCAGCCTTTATATAAATAGTAAAAACCATCAATTACTAAACGCTACATATATAATCGGATCAAATGTTTGTGGTTCAGTAATTGTAATCTTGCGCTAATCGTTTCTTACACCAACATTATCCTTCAATGCATTGCAAAACTAAAGATTAAGTTGGACATTATATCCGTTCTCACGATCATTAAATCTAATAATCATGATTCGCATGGTTTCAATTGTTCCAAAACAAAAACTTCCCTCCGTTACCCTGCAGAGTTTACAGTTTAGGTATGATCTGATGAAGCAGTCTTTTAAGAACTAAATCAAACGAATACACAGGGCATACCACCATGGAAAACGATTCTGAAAGTTAACTGTAAAATTATGAGGTGCTTTACCCCTTCAAGAGGTTGATTTTAGTGTTTTTCAAAAGAGATTCATTTGTAGTGTTCTCTGGGATCCGGAGTAATGCTGTCTGATGTTGCGTATCGAGCAAGATTCATCTTCATGTTACCCATACCATAGACGTATATTATCAGGAACACATAAATAAACAAGCAAATAAATTTACAAACACAAACACTCATGTAGATTGCATATAACAATAATTGATACATATGTCACTCTTATCATTTGACTTAATTGCTAGAACATGTAAAGGTGTGAATACTGTTAACAAGGCCCAATATGTAACTTATTCCAACTGTGGTTATTTACCATGTACATGGTACTAACTTATTGAAAAGTTTACGCATGCTATATAGCAGTAAAAATCATCCCGACTGTTGTTGAGCTTATTAAACCAATAACCAATAATTCATTTTAGTGGCCTTAAAGCTACAGCGGAGCTATGCTGGGAATAAATGTATATACATAGTGTAAGATGCGGCGCAAGGGAAAGTATGCATTTCATTGCGGACCGAAATAACTGGAACATAAACATCAGTCAGTGCAGTGTGTTCAGATGGGAGTAGATAGATAGTCAACGAGTTTGAAGAAGGATACATTGGCAACTCGCATCTCGTGTGACATTTACCTCTGCGGTAGTAAATGGGTATCGAGCTTAATAGTAAGGTCAGCCTTACAGAATCAGCGGTGCATTTTATGATGAATTTGTATGTTACATTTTGTGTTAACAAAAGTCATACAATCACATCGATTGATCATGACCGTGTAGCTTAAACACTCCAAGTTCCCGACATGACCGGATATAATTACAATTGAGAAAAAACTCGGATTATTGGATATTAAAGCGATGGAAGAAGCGGAGGACCTGGAGAGAAATGCAAAGGGGTGGAGAGGCTGTGCCGCCCTCACACAGAAATATTACTTCTCAGATCCGGAGCTCGAGGCACTCTACGAACGCTACATTTTCAAGCTTCAGAAATCCACTGTCCAGTACCTTTTGGTTCTTTTTATTATTCTCTCAGCAGTGCTTGCTGTCTTGGATTTCGTCCATGCACTCTCAGCCACCGTAGATGCTGTCTTTTATTTCGTTCAATGTGCAATATTTATTTTGCTTTTTGTGTTTATCAACACAAGGTTTATGAAAGAGAACTATCTGCGAGTGTTATGTTATGTGATCCTATTCTTATGTGCTAGTTTTGTGATTGTTGCTCTGCCGATCAACTTTGGTGATAGGCCCGACTCCGAGACAAAATACAGCCCCGCAGAAGGAGTATGGAACGTGATATTCGTCGTGTTCCTTATGTACGCAATGCTCCCTGTGAAACTATGGGTTTTGGGGCCCCTATGCCTCGCACTCTCTATCCTACACATCGTAATCTCAGCCATATACGCCAACACCTTCCCGGACTTCAGTGGTCTACTCTGGAGACAGGTGAGCGAACTGTTGTTTATTACCCTTCACTCAGTGAAGTCTTGTATCAAGCGATGAGTGAAGTCTTGCATCAAGCCATTTTTACCCCAATACTAATATCCTCGTACACACGTTATATATCACTAAGGGACCCTGGGACGAAATTAAATGTAAATGAAACTCTCTTTTAAAGATGCCTAAATCAGAACATTGAAATGGTATGGTCCTTTATATTAGTATTTGGGAATAAAAAATTGATCAGGGACCAGGCTTGATGCAAGACTACCCTTCATGGCCAAATGATCCCCAGTTAGCCTTGTAATATCAAGTACCCGTGGTACTCCTACTATATTTACATACCAGATTTCAAAGGAATAAAATACACAAGGGCTTGATACAAGACTACATCGTTCTTCATGTCTATAAATATACATACAATCTCCTCTTTATCTTTACTTCAAAGCACACCAATCCTAATAGGAAAAATACTCATTTGCAAATCAGGTACCGAACGATATTAGTAGACTCAGTTTCATTTAAAGTGAATTCGTACAATTTTAAGTCTTGTATCAAGACCCTGGACACCCCCCCCCCTTTGACTTAAACAACAGTTATTGAAGTAGAGAATGGGGAACCAGGGGCCTTGAAGCAAGACTAGTTTTTATGAATATACTTGCAATTTAAAAATATTATTGCACCAAATGAACCATTATAAATATTAAAGGTTGCTTAGTTGTGTAGGTACATGACATCTGGACTAATATAGTAATGAATACACTACATACTTCATCACTGGGAATAAATAGTCAAACGTGACAAAACTTAAAAATAGTTTTAACAATTTACAAATAACACACACATACGTTGAAGGTCCAATTCATTTTAATAGTACCTTTCAGTGATAAATGCTAGAATACATAAAATGATGTCCTTTAGATTGCGGGTAAACATGTGAAATGTGTGATAGCTTGAGTAGGTATTTTGGTTGATGCGGGTATTACAGTCGAGTACCATCTTCAGAATGAGATATACAATCGCGATGTTTCGATGAAGAGTCCTGCATCTCCGACTCAGCTTTGCAATTCCCCAAGCAGATGTAAAGTGTCTATGTAGAGTTCTATGTAAGTCTATGTCAAATCAGCCCCTTGTGTCCCATTTAATCTGCAAAGTGGTGCATCCTGCATATCGACATGAAGATGCTATAAAATAATTGCAGCATATAAACCAGAAACACATATCTGTGTATAATATAAACTAAATACGTGTTACCTACAACTTGAGATAAAGTTAGTGGTGTTTTTCTGACTTGTAGGCAGGACTATATAATGTTGCGCTGTTCTAACATTCCTGACTTCAAAGTGATTAGCGAGAGAGGCGAGGATGCCTTTAATTAAAAGCTATAATCCCAAGTCCCCGGTGACTATGCTGGTATCATGTTGGACCAGAGAGTATTATCAGCTACTAATTATCAGCCATTCTGATAATCATCACATCTTTCTGTTCTGTACCCTTTTCAATAGTCTTGCTCCAAGACCTTGAACTCCCCCTATCTACTGAGAGGTCGTAAAGTAGATAGGGGGGGGGAGGTCCCAGGGTCTTGAAGCAAGACTAGCTTTTCAATAGTCTTGCTCCAAGACCTTGAACTCCATTTCCCTATCTACTGAAAGGTCGTAAAGTAGATGGGGGGGGGGGTCCCAGGGTCTTGAAGCAAGACTAGCTTTTCAATGGTTTCATTTTGCTTATTTAAAAGAGAGCTTCATCTACATTCTAATGTTCTAGACTCTGCCACTCAACTGTTTTGCAAGTAGCAAGAAACTGATAGGATGTCTTGATCCATCCTTGGTCAAAGGACTTCTTTTTGAATTAAGTCATAAATGAAGTCCTTTTAATGAAGGATGTCTTGATCCCTCAAAATGATTATCAGCCAGTGCACTGTTTTGTGTATCTTGTATCTTGACTGACCGATCGCCATACCATAATTAGCTCTCTCTTTCATGTCTTAACCTTCTTACGTAAACACTTGTGCTATGTTACTTCATGTTCACAACTACTACGTGTATATAAGTAACGTAATATTGGGATTCAAGTATGCACTAAATCAAATACGATATCTCTTTACAGATACTCTTTTCGATTTTTATGTCACCAACACCAGAAGTGGTGACATGTTGTTATAGTCTCCAACCTTTTTAGTGGACGGTGTTCGGCGTTCGGCATTTGTAACAAATGGCAGCTGGTGGTGATATTTTGCATGTTAATGCCTTGTTTTGTCTGTTAAATCACGGTCCTCTGGGTAGAGGAAGAATAGGGTAGGAAAAGAGGTGTACATTGAAATGATATTTTGTTCTAAATGCATAGACCCATTCTGATTTATCAGTCTCTCTTTATCCAATCCACTGTTAGGCCCCCTTCCATTCTCTTGGGATACTAGAGATTGTGGATCTCACAATGGCATAGACAATGCATGGAAGTCTATCGAGAATATAAAGGTCTTACATCAAGTCTCTCATCGCCTTTGTAAATATTCGCGATCAGGTCTTTGAGAAAGGGGACAACTCAGGGCTCGATGCAAGACTTACAATACTAAAGCAATCGATTGTTAACCTATATCAATAAGTAATTCACTTAAGTGCAATCATTATGCCTATTGAGCGGACGAGTGCCAACGATTTGAAAATGAGTAAGTGCATTTCCAAAAAGATTACAATTAATGTATCTCACGGTAGTATATCGAGCTGTTCGGGTACACTTCCATTTTCCTCAACGGTTGCCAAGTTACATCATCCCGGTGGATATCATGGGCCATTACGCCACTCGACATGATAAAAACTCGTTCAGTCAGCTACTTGCCATATTTCAACCATAATCTGTAGACTGACCTGTTACATTACACAGGATTTGCAGGAATTTTGCAACAATCTTCTATTCATAGTTGAAATTTTCTAAGAATATATGTGCTTTATCCCATAAGCTACACCTAACGATGACTATACTCTGACACTAAGGCTTCCCTGCATTTAATATACTTCACTACTCAACCAATCCAGTGCCTACCCTACCCCACCCTACCCTACCGTACCCTACCCTAGCCTACCCTACCCCTAACTGTTTGTTGAGGAGAGGTACACAATTAATGCTTGATGCAAGAGCACACTGTAGCATATTTCGACCCCCCCCCCCCCATGATCTTTCAAATAGTATAATTTCGCTTCCTCAAAAGAGAGCTTCGTCTACCTAATGTACCAGGCAAATCGATTAGTGTCAACTCCACCAATTTGTCATGTTATCGATAAGCTTCGCCCACTGCGTTCTGTGTGGAAGATCTGGTGAAAACTAACACAAGTGCCAGCAGGAAACAAGAAATCAAATGTTTGACATTGAAACGGATTTAATCAAAGACATATGGTTTGTGTTTGGCTTGTTTATTATTTCCCCTCTGGGATTGTGATTGGACTCTATGCCTGCTGAAAAAATAGCATAAATCACGTCGACAGTTGTTTCCTCAACATGCCCTTCAACTTCAACCCAGTTTTGTTTGTAATTGCATCTTTTATTAATAAGAGAACCAACTTGGACTAAAAAACAAAATATACCAAAAATATATTTCACACTAATAAACGACTCGCTCTCACCAGCTCTGCTTCAAGATCTGAACTCACGTCTAATATGTGCAGTTTAATATAAGTAAAAAACAATCGTCCTACATAAAAAACATTGTTTTGCCTCAAGTTCAATTTATTGTGGGTTTGAGTAAACATATACTATTCCTTTACTAATACATACAAACATGACACTGTTCTCTCGACCAAATATTGCTACATTGCCGTGCATTAATTCTCAGTAATGCACGGAGAATATCGATGGATTGAACTAGATAGATCTAAAATTCTCATTCATGAATTCTGGAGATATGGAAGAAACTCTACCCAATGACTAACTACAAAACTATTAATGGAAGAGTACCGGTGCGGCCACGAGCAAGGAAATCCTATCTAAACAGGAAGCAGGCCATTCACTTGTTTTCCAAGACCGCCGGCTCCAGTTGAACACAGTAATAAAACAATCACGTATAAACTTGAAAATGACAGAGATGTGTTTTTAGTTTAATGATCAGCCTAGAGATAACATAATGTGATCCTTGATACATCGACCTTTTATTCTCGTATGGTTAGGGTTTTCGCAGAATTATCATTTCATATGTTTAGTATCATTTCTGAAAAATCTCTGTCTGGAACATTTATTGCCAATCCAAGAGTTCTTTGATATTGAAAACCCGAATGTATTATTGTATTGATCTCTGACATGTCTGAATGATTAGCCTTTTTAGCATTGTAAAAATTGATAGTCCTATTGAGAAACGATACACGGTTATGCCATCACCAGGGATCTAGATGCGATTGATCCCGTATAATTGGAATATTGATGACATTCAATATCTAAGTAACATCAGGATTAGTTTTGCCGCTGAATCCGGTTAAAATAATGACCTTACAATATTATCATTGTTATTCTTGTTTGTTCAGAGAGTTTATCATCTTTCTGTATTTGGTTATCATTTTCAACAGTATTTTTCTCAGAATTTGTTAATTAGTTTGACGCTGTAAGTGTGTCTATCTGCTTCTACAATGACTTTATTCCTTGTATTTGTTTATAATAGTGTATTTGACTGGGATTAGATTTTCTCAGTTTTCGATCCATAAATGATTTCGAAATTTTTGTGTCATTAAACCCAGCTTATTTATTAGCTCTTTTTTCTTTTTTGAGTTTTTATTTAAATCAGGGTATCACAACTCCCTGTGCAATCCTTGAAGCTGTTTTCTCTTCTTGTATTTGCAATCATGGAATTGTTTCTCAACTTTTCTGTCTGCAATCTCTTGATCTGCGCTTTTGCAATCATGGAATTATTCTCCGCCTTCCTGTTCGCAACCTTTGAATCTGCTCTTCTTTTTCTGTATTTGCAATCATTGAATATGGGTCTCAGTTCTTCTGTTTGCAACAATTGCTTACATCATGTGCTCTAG